CGATATGCTGACTCTGTAAACCGCTTAAAGAGGGCTGAAAGCCCTATGAAGCGGTATATAAGTCTAACTGCTAACTGCTACTTATCCCACAATTTAAGCATTTGGGGATTGTAGCAACGCCAAAAGGACTTTCAGTTTTTGCAAAATCCAAGACATGCAAACACTTTTTTTTTTGAAGAACTGAAGCACTTCTACTTAACTAAACAGAGTTACCATAATGATTTACCCGGCACACTAAATACAAATCAATAAAACACAATTCTTATCTCGAGTGGGGCACTGACGAAAGTCAACACACTATTTATGGTTTAGCTATAACAGTAGAAAGTAGGTGGTGCTCGGAGAGAAGCCATGAATCATTATCCTTACCGTGTCCTGGTTCCATAGTTTTATAATTCGTGAGTCAGCAGAGATAATCAGATCCAATGCATTGTGGAACTGGATGGATTTGATTGGTAGACCGTATTGGTGATCCTTCATTATTAATGGATTACTCGACCGAAGATCATAAAGTAAGACCTGGTATCCAGAAAAGGAAGGTCATTTTTTTTTAATGGTCAGGTATTGTTTAATACAGGTACAAATCTATCATTTATATTTTCAAATTGAGAAAAATAAAAAAAAAGGTATTTCAGTTTACTGAGTATTCTTGTAAATCCACCCCATGGACTTTTAAGTAACAAAATCTCTTAAAGGACCGCCTCCTGCCATTCACCTCCCAACGACCAATAAGATCACACAGGTTGGGTCTCCTCCGGGTGCCGTCGACCGGACAATACTGGCTGGCGCCCCCCCCCCCCCGAGAGAGGGCCTTCTCTGTAGCTGTACCAGCCTTATGTAACGAGCTACCTGCAGAGATCCGGACCCTTACCACTCTCCCGGCCTACCGTAAAGCAACCAAGACCTGGCTGTTCCAGCAGGCCTGGGGCTGTTGATTAGTTTCCAGCCCCACTTGATTGAATGGATGATATNTTTTGGCCCACGCTATCATGCAACCTTTAACTTTTTCGTCTTCTAATGTTACTCCTAATAAATATTTGTAAATTTTCGTTATGAAGATTTCGGAATTTTGATTTTTAGGAAATCACAACCTGTTCTCTATCCAATCCTCATGGAGGATTTAATATACAGTACAGTGCTTCTCTTCTCAGTGCCTGAGTCTCTTTGAGAGTGGGCGGCATACAAATTAAATCAATCAATCAATCTCACCCTTGGCATCAATAAGGTGGGTGGACTTCAACTCCCAGAATTCTTCAGCCAGCATGGCTGGCTGGGGTATTCTGAGAGTTGAAATTCACATATTTTTAAATGGCTAAGGTGAGAAGAATAATAAATAGCCTGTGAGAGCGAAAGTACTCTATTGCTGTTGAAGACTCTTAAGAATTTTGAAACGGCCAACAGATGATTCGGTTGTTAAATACTGTCAGAGGAAAAATGAAAAAGGTCACCTCCTTCCAAATTCTGAAGACATTATCTAACATTTGGCTGCCAGGAAAGATTATTTTGTACTTTACCTGAATTGGGGTACAGGCAAACGTCATTAATATTATGTTCAGGTTCTATAGAGGTGAATATTTTCCCCTGAAAAATAAAGTCACATAATTCTTAATAAAAGCACACAAAGGAAGTAAGGCATTTCATACTACAGAAAGAGGATTCTTTGGACAGTGAGATGGATGGCATATAAATTCAATAAATAAATTATTCAGACAATAAATCTTATTATCTGCAGAAACACTATTATTGCCTTCATGTTGCTAATATTAATCTGGAAGTGTCTGCAATTAAATAGAACAATTTCGTTCCTATTTCAAGAAGGGATTGGTTCAAAGTCTTGAATTCCACTATGTTATGGAGAGCCATATTTCCGTCCGTCCGTCCATCAAGTTGCTACTTGAACATGCAAAGAACATCTAGCAGCAAATTTCCATGTCCAAATTACGTTTCCTTTTAATAAACAACATGCAACAAATTGTAAGACTAGTCAAATTGTCAAATGGCACAGTCCAGTCCAATTCTAGTGATTTAAATGGCTATCATCAGTAGCAATAGCAATAGCAGTTAGACTGATGTACCGCTTCATAGGGCTTTCAGCCCTCTCTAAGCGGTTTACAGAGTCAGCATATNCTTTTGTTGTGAGCCGCCCAGAGTCCCTAGGGAGTGGGCGGCATACAAATCTTATTAAAGTTGCAAAGTTGCAAAATAATTCATAGTATTGGTCTGCAAATCAAGCAGCATTAAGCATTATTTAATTTAGCATAACATACTTTTATTAAAACGCTATGGAGCAGAACAGCTGCTGCAGACTAGCTCAACCCTCATCCACTGTATGCTTGACAAATCTCTATTTATACGTTGCAAAACACAGGAATGTGTGGTCCCGGTGTATCATCCAGCCATTCGTTTCGTTGGGCTGCAGTAAACTCATTATATTCAAGAGCAGTGTTTTATTTAAACCTGTAAAACTTTAGAGGTGCTACCACAATAAACATATGCACAATAATCCTCTGGCCTATGAATTATACTAATAATTATAATTAGACTACCATTCAGTCTGGTTTTGTTTGATTGCTTGAAGTTGTTTTTACAGGAAAGCATCATAAGAAGCTCTTTATCAATAACCCAACTTAACGTGCAACACATCAACGAATCTTTCTGAAGTACCCACAAGTATCTTGGACTTAAGACTTGAATTAAGCAATCGGAATTAAGATATTTCCCAGCACCACATTCTCTTCACAAGCTCACCTTATCGAATTAACATTCATACATTCATTCATTTTATATGCCACGGGCCTCTCTCTGCAAAGTGACTGGGTGGCTTAGAATTAAAATCATACATATTAAAATATTAAAATCATTAGGTACAAAGGCTAAACAACAAAAGGCAAGAACGATGAAGGTGGCATCTTCCCTAAGTCCATCAGCCACCCTCCCCATAGAGCAGCCCTGTCAGAACCCCAAACCACCAAAGCCAGATTTTAGTGTCCTTCGAGAACAGTGATGGCAAACTTTTTTTGGCACTCAGTGCCGAAAAGGGAGCGGGCCTAGGGGCGGCACCACGTGCTGAAAAGGGAACTCCTGCTTGTCTGCAGCCAGAAAGAGGAGCTGCCTAGGGGGCATGCACGCGCCGGAAAATGACCTTCCAGTTTCTCAATAGCAATTAGACTTATATACCGCTTCATAGGGCTTTCAGCCCTCTCTAAGCGGTTTACAGAGTCAGCATATCGCGCCCACAGTCTGGGTCCTCATTTTACCCACCTCGGAAG